TCTCCCTTCCCATCCTGGTAACCAACAAAGAAAGTGTCCTTCCATATATAAACCTTTCCTTGACTTTTTACAATAATAAACTAATACAATATTTGTCCTTCTGTGATTGAGTTATTTCACTCAGCACAATGTCCTCCAAGTTCATCTACTTATGTGGTGTTTGGCAGACTCTACATTAATCTTTAGTGTTGAATAGTACTCCATTGTGTGTATGTACTATAGTTTGGTTACCCATTCTTCTGTTGATGGGCATAGAGGTGATTTCCATCTTTTTGCTATTATAAATAGTGCTGTGATGAACATGAGTGTGCATATATCTGTTCTTGTCCTGGCTCTCACTTCTTTAGGATATGTACCTAGTAATGGGATTGCTGGGTCAAATGGTATTTCTAATCCCAGCTTTTTAAGGAATCGCCATACTGCTTTCCACAGTGGTTGTACCATTTTACAGTCCCACCAGCAGTGTATGAGAGTCCCAATCTCTGTACATCCTCACCAGCATTTGTTATTTTCTGTCTTGTTGAACTCTGCCATTAGCACTTGCAAGCCTTTAAGACCTCAGGCACTATGCAGCAAACTAGGAGGCAGAACAGAAGCACTAACCATAACATTGTTGTTGTTGTTGTTGTTGTTATGTGCCGTCGAGTCGGCCCCGACTCATAGCGACCCCTCCTTGGGTTTCCGAGGCAGTATCATTAGGCCGATTAATAGGAATGTCCCATGAAATCATGATCCTAAACCTCCAAACCAGGATATCTTTGTTCATTTTAATATCATGTTTTAAATTTCTTAGTGTCATGTACAAATGATATTCTGGAAGATGTCCCATGTTTTCCCTGTGGTTTTAGCCATCCTTGACTTGCCATCACATATATCCCCCTCTGCAGCAGGAAGCATTTTACAAGCACAGACTGTGCCTACTCACCCATGTGGTGACGTAACTGGAGCTGAGTGGTCCCTGGGTCCCCAGGTGGCCACAGCCCCACCACTCCCTCATTTGTGCATCTGCTCTCAGAGAACTTACATCACTCAACTTGATTACCTGCCTGACTCCTCTCAAAGTCCTTCCCACTGAGAGCTAAAAGCTCTTTCAGCACTCTTAGCTCCTCTGCACCAGGGTCAGGGTGCGGGAAATAAGTCAGGGGAGCATAATTGATCATATAAAAAAAATGGTGCTACACATGTATCAAAGATTTCACTGAACTTGTTAATTAACTTGTCAATTAGAGAAAGAACCAGTGAGATGTTACAACTGATTCAAAGGAGAATTCCAAGAATAATATGTATATAGGCAATAAAACTGAAAGAAAAAAAAAAAACAAACTCACTGCCATTGAGTCAATTCCAACTCATAGTGACATGGTTTCCAAGGCTGTAAATCTTTACAGACGTAGATTGCCCCATCTTCCTTCCATGGAGTGGCTGGTGTTTTTGAACCCCTGATTTTCTGGTTAGCACCCAAATACTTTATTCACTATGCCACCAGAGCTCCTTACATAGGCAAGAAGGAATGCTAAAATGAATTTACAAATAGATGCAAAACCTGCCTTCTCCTCAGGGCAATAAATGTCACCAAAAAATATGACACCATTCATGTCCATTTCTAGAGACAATATCATGTGCATTAGTATCAGTTTCCCCCAACTGGCAGAGTTATAAAGTAACTCAAAGGCAATGAAATGTGGGGATAACCTGGAAAGGAAAGACAGAGAGAACTGGCAGCAATCTATTTTTCCATGTGCCCATGTCAGTATTTCACAATGTGTATAGTGAACGTTGAGGGTTATAAACCAAGATTATACTTTCTTCTCCCCCCTTTTCTCCCACCCACCCACTCATTCTTTGATTTCTGGAACATTCTCAGTAGCTTGGAGAGTGTAAGATTTGGCCCCCTCACTCCTTCGAGCCCTTGGGTGACTGACTGTCTCTGGCCACAGGACCTCCCATTTCTGTTTTCTCTACCTGGAAAGTAGGCGTTGGCAAAATTAGATTAACTATTTAGAGAAACCTCTTTCTGGAACCCTTTATCCATGTAGTTCAAATCTCTACTCTCTGGGATGCAAAACTTCTAGCCACTGTAATGCCCCATAAGGCCAGCAGATGGCAGTAGTTACTCAGCATCGGTGTGGGTGAGCCCCATTTGTGGGCCTGGACCAGTGTTTCTGCTTGGTTACCCTACCACAGATGGGCTTATCAAGTCAGACCACAAAGGGTTACCAGAACTGTACAGGTACCTCTTTGAGTTTCAATGTATCCATCTTCCTAGTGCCACTGGTTGGGCAATCTACTTCCGTAGTGATACCTCCTGGGAAACCCAAGGAGGGGTCTCTTAGTCAGGTCCGACTCAATGGCACATAACAACAACAACAACAGCAGCCACCGGGGGAGAAAACTTACACAGGTGGACCCATTAGAATCACTTGGCTCATTCTGGGTTGCTGACCACAAAGAAGCCCTTTGTGGAAATACAGCAGAACAGTACATGTATCAGGCAGATGTGGATTCAAATCCAACTTCCATCAATTACTAACTGTGTGATTTAGGGCAAAGCTCACAACCTGAGCCTCCTTTTCCTCACTTGTCAAATAGGGATAATAATGCTGACCTTACATATTCATGGTGCCTGCCTGGCACATGGAAGCCTCAGGCCTGGTCTGTTATCACAAAGAGTCTATGGATCTTGTGGTCTTCCCTTCCAGGCTGCTGTTCTGGCTGGGGGCTGAGCACCACCCCCTCCCCCAGCAGAGACCAGATCCCGTCTTCATCTGCCCCTGCCACCCACCTGGGCTCGGAGCTGCTCCTCTTCCTGGGTGGAAAATTCTACGCGGCAATGGAGAGGGACATCCATTTTGGCAACTATCTCACCAATCCTCTCTTGCATGGTCACACACTCTTCTGCAGACAGGAATCCTTCCAGAACCAGGAACCCATCTTCCCGGAACTGCAGGCAGGAATGAGACTCAGATTCCTACCCTCAAAGCCTCCTTATGAAAACTGGTCTCACCCTTCCCCCAAACCAGCAGCTGCAAGTATCTCGTTCATTGCTTTGTCCCCTACAGCACATGGTATCTGCACCCAGAGATGAGCAATCAATATTGGCCACTTAAATGAAGGAAAGAGGAAGGGAAGGTGTTTCTGTTCTTCTCCTCCAGTGGGCTTCAGACACATGAGAATTCTGTTCTTCTCCTCCAATGGGCTTCAGACACATGGGAATTCAACATCATTTATTTATTCAACTAATATTGATGGAGCATCAATCCTAGAAGGTGAAGATCCAGTAATGAGCAAGCCAGCCATGATCCCTGTCCTCATGGCGGTCACAGTGTAGCAAAGGAGACTGTATTAAATAAATCATCACACAAGATTGTCTTACTTCTGCCTCACAGGAAGCAGCACTGGATCTTAATCCTACCCCCTTCTTGAAATTAGAGGTCAGATGCCTCCCCCATACCTTTTTATACCCTCTCCCTTTCCTTCTTTGCACTCAGCACAATTTATGATAGTATGCTTTCTTGTGTGATGATTTATTTCACCAATCCCCTTCGTGGGCCACAAGCACCTCACATTTCCCAGTCTTTTGGCGGGAGCAACAAAGACTATGGCTAAAGGACTATATCAAGTAATTCACTACACCACAGGAGAACTTCAGGAACAAATAGAAGTTGCACAGGAAACAGGGACAACTTTGGTAAATGCTATAACATATACATTTTGCAATAATAGTAACAACCAAAAAATACATATGTGATTATGTAGGCATGTGTAAGTACATGCATGTGCAGATACAGGTGTATCTGTAGGCATATGTATAAACATGTTTGTGTGCACTGCATGTATATACATATATATATAACTACATGGGGGCACAGTTGAAAGGCTTCCTAGACATATCCAACTTGCAAGGTTGGTTTACTGGGTTAACAGGCATAATCTAGGGGGACACCTTGGTCAAGTGGAATAACACAGTTCACAGAAGACAATGTTCTACATCCTGGTTTGGCGAGTAAGGTCTGGGGTGTTAAAAGCTTGGGAGTGGCCATCTAAGATACAACCATTGGACTCTACTCATATGGAGCAAAAGAGAATGGTTTAAAATCAGGGAAAGTGTGTGTCAGTGTTATATTCATTCACCATACTTATTCAATCCGGTTGTTGCGCAAGTAATCAGAGAAGCTGGACTATATGAAGAACAATGCAGCGTCAGGATTGGAAGAAGACTCATTAACAACCTGCAATGATATGCAGATGACACAACATTGCTTGCTGAAAGTGAAGACATGAAGCACCTACTGATGAAGATCAAAGACTACAGCCTTCAGTATAGATTACATCGCAACATAAAGAAAACAAAAATCCTCACAACTGGACTCAATAAGCAACATCATGATAAATGGAGAAAAGATCAAAACTGTCAAGGATTTCATTTTACTTGGATCTATAATCAACGTCCACAGAAGCAGCAATCAAGAAACCAAACAATGGGTTCCAGCAAGATGGCGGACTAGGCAGAAGGATTGCACAGACCCTCTTCAACAAAGAAAAGGGAAACCAATTAACACAGACACAGAAGATAA